TCCCAATCATTGCATTATGGGTTGCCAACCTATTTTTATTATTAACCTAATCACTATACACTGGTTGTACACTTTAAGTGGATGGCAAGCTAGTATTAACAGAAAGCTACTCCCAAAATAAGAATATTCTAAGCCTACCCAAAAATACAGGAAGAAAATAAGACCAGCCACCTACGGGAGAAGGAGCCAAACAATGACTAGTCTTTAATGGAAAGAAGAAACTTTATAGCACATTTTGAGTAAATTAGTGCAGGTGCTCAGTTTGCCAACTGGTGGGGCACCAGTTTGTAATGGGCTCCACAATTAGGGCATCGCTGGGCCTCGCCTTTGTGCACCCAGAACCAGAAGACGACACTGTTGTCCTCTTCACCTAAAAGGAAAAGAGGTGGTTGAAGGTCATACAGCGTAGAAAGGGAGAATTTCAACATTGATTTCTTTTTCAAACTACAGCTGGCATCTTAAGACATCAGTTCAAGCTCTTCTCATTTTTCAGATGAAATTGAGGCCCTGAGTTTACCTGTGAGTAAACTGACCTTATGCTTGGTTCATTCGAAATGATAACAATTCCCATGCCTATGTAGACTCCCAAAGCAGGGTCCACTCTGGCATGTATCCCTAGTGCCTAAAACAGTGCCTGGCACAGAAGCAATACAACAATAAGTATTTTCTGTACAAATACTTCTCTTTCACGATGCACTTCCAGTAAGCCAGTCTTGTTGTTTTCCTTCCTGTAAGGATGACCTACTCAGGCACAATGATGCTTAAAAGGGCCAGGACTCTTAGAACGAGTTACTTACAAACATTACTCACACACACACGAAAGATGTGAAGCAGTTTACAGACACCTGTATAGTAGGATACATTAAACAAATGGATAAGAAAATAAAGCTGAGGTACTTACAGATACAGCCCACTATTCGCTTGTTAGTAATGGAAGGGACTAAATTAGGATCTTCCTTAGTGCCTGAAGCTCCCTTTGGGGGTAGCGTATTGTATGGGTCCTGAAAAAGACAAGAATTGAGCCATTATGCCAAATAACCCCTGCCCTCCAGAAGCCTGGGGATTGTTTCTGCAAGCCATGTTTCCTGGATCAAATGCTTCCGGAGAGGAGACTACTCTGATCCCATCCAATACCATAAGCTCCACAGAAGGGAGTTTCTCACCAGTCCCTTCCGTGCAGCTAGCATGATCTCCCTCTCCAGCCCAGTCGCCTGCTCATCATCAGTAGGAATACCACCTAAAGGAAGATAAGTAAATTACAATATTGACTGAAATGATCAAGATAGAAAAATACACATGGAAATGATCAAAACAGGAAAAGCCAAACTTAAATTTCTGCCTAAATTTTAATGGGCTCACAAGCTCCTAAAGGCTACCCATAGCCATAGTTCCCTTAAGGACCACCAAGTCACGATACCCCAAAGTGGCAACTAGCGGAAGCTTTTCTTGCTCCAGCCAGAGGCCAATTTTTCCAAAAGCAGGTCAGAGCCCATCTGTCTTGAGGTAGGCGTAGTATCGAAGGACGGCCGGGCCCCTCCCCATCCCGGCTGCCAGCCTCTGCCCTCCAAGGTCACCCCCGATCTCTGTTTAGGATACTTTCACTGCGGGCTCAATTCGGCGAGCCGCAGCCCGGAATTACAGAGAGACGCCCAAGGAGCCCGAGGCACCCCGGGCGGTAAGGTGGTCACTGAGGCCCTGAGGAGCCGCACGGGCCGGCCCGCCCCGTGTTGCTGCCCCAGGACTACCCCCGGAGCGCAACGGCGCCGGCCCCTGGCGCGCCCGGCGAGCCGAGTACCTCTAGACGCCATGGAGCGCACCGCAGCCGGCGCATTGGGACCGCGGGCTCTCAGGCCCTGCGCGGCCAGCGCTCCAGCTCCGCGAAGTAACCTTGAAGCCATCACACCCGCGACAAGCAGCAACACTTCCGGGACTAGGCTGCAGAGACAGGCGGGATTTCCGGGGGCGGGCCTCTTTCCTCCTCCCGCTCAGCCTTCCACTTTCGCCCCGCCCACTCACGGGACGCGGGCCAGGGAGTGCGCATGCCCAGCTCGGCCTGGCAGCCTCGGAGGCTCGTGGGGAATGGGTCTCAATCGTGGTATGGTCAGGCTTTGCTCTTAGTAACGCGTAGGGTGTAGGCGAGTTATTTTGCATCCCTGGAACTCAGTGTCCCAACCCCACTGGAGTTCCTGGGTGTCTTGCCTGATAGTTCTGTTCAGCGAACGTGGAGGCTGCTGCTGGGCGACATTAAGTTCTGGTCTGTCCAGAGACCTGCTGAACCCTAAATGACCTCAATTTAGGACTGGGCTGCTCCTAAAGACCACTGTGTTCATTGATAGGCTAGTTAATTAATGACGACGCTGGTTCACCTGGCATGCGTGAGCCATTGCGAATTTGTTGCATGGGCCAGAACTTGAACAGGACCTGCCTGCAGTCGTAGCATCGTTTTCCTGTTACATTGGTACTGCAGGAGGTGACAGGGTCCAGGCCTGAGCAGAGCTGGTGACAGGAGAAAGTTAGGGCCAGACGTTGGACCCCTCCCAGGACCAGAGCGTTATTTGGGGTGACGTGGGGTGAGGAGGTTGCTATTCCTCGAGGTTTTTAGAGGAGGAGGAGCAGGAAGGGGAGTTAACAATGGGAAATGGAGTCACAGAACTTACTGTGGCTGCCTGTTTACTAGAGTTCTGTGTTTAAAACAGAAAATGCCTTGCATAGCTCTCCATTGCCCAGAGGCTAAGGTTTGCAAGTTTCTTAGCAAGGTGGGCATTCAAGAGCCTTCAGATACGGTATGCCCTCCATCTGCTCTTAACACTTAATTCACATTGTCAGTATAGTGTAGCATTCTAGCTGCATGCAGTGTCTGTATTGCCCTACCAGATGGAAAATCCCTTTGTTGTGGGAATTATGCTCTATTCATCATTGAATCCCCACTGCACTGCAGAGGCATGGGATATAATAGCATCCAGTAATTTTCAGAAAATTTAGTACTCGAACAGAATATACAAAAAGCAGTTTATAGGACTTATGGTCCAATGATGTCAATTTGAGGTAAATTGGGGAGGGCTGAAGTCCCAGGTGTTCCCACCTGACCCATGCAGGTTACGATTTTTTTTTTCTTTTTTCAAAGCACCACGTTGTCTACAGGGTGGTCATAGCTCACTACAGCCTTGAACTCCTGGGCTAAAGCAATCCTCCAGCCTCAGCTTCCCAAGTAGCTGGAACTACAGGCATGAACCACCAGGCCCTGCTCCAGGTTATAATATTTTCCAAAGGACCTGGTAGAGTATTGCTTCATAGGATCATATCTGATCTTCCTGGGTGCCCCCTACACAAAGAAAAAAATAGTCTCCTCTGAGGCCAAAAATGTCTTGATCCTCCTTAAAAGTGAGTTTTGCTTTGAATGGCTTCCAACGGTTACTCCCTTCTCCCTTACCTCCACTGCATCCCCTCCAAATTAAATTGGAAAAAAATTCTGAGGCATGTTCCCCAGGATCTATAATTTATTAGTGCCTGTGGTAAGAAGTTTGGTGGGGGAAAAAGTATTGGTCATAACATCACTAAAACAGCTAGGCCCACCAGCTAGTTCAGCCAGTGACTTTTTCTCCTTTTGGCCATTTCCTCAGCAGTAAAACTATAGTTAGACTAGGTTAGTATTTCACTAGAATCCAGGTCTCTAGATATGTTCTCAAGAAAAAGTTGTTAAGACAGGGAAGTCACACATTTAATGACCACCCTCTTGGGGATGCACACTAGCATATTAAAGGCTCTGATAAGGCCTGCAGCAAAGAATCATTTAATTTACCTGTGGGGGTTTTTTGTTTGTTTGTTTTTTGGGTTGTTTTTTTTTTTTTTTTTTTGAGACAGAGTCTTGCTGTATTGCCTCGGCACTGTAACCTCAAACTCCTGGCTCAAGTGATCCTACTGCCTCAGCCTCCTGAGTAGCTGGGACTACAGGCATGTACCCCATGCCTGGCTAATTTGTTTCTATTTTTAGTTGCCCAGGTAATTTTTTTCTATTTTTAGTAGAGATGGGGTCTTGCTTTTGCTCAGGGTGGTCTCGAACTCCTGAGCTCAAGTAATCCTCCTACCTCGGCCTCCCAGAGTGCTAGCATTACACATGTGAGCCACCACGCCCAGCCTACCTGTGGTTTAAGACAGAGTTTTCCCACCTTAATTGACCGCACAACCCTTTCCTAAGGAACAGCTGATGTGTGATGATTCCCTGCTTCCTGACCATAGGTGGTTTAGTCCAGGCTAGAAAAAGGAAATTGAGTTTCATCTTGTTTCTCACTCTCATGGTAGGCTTGCCTCATAATAGGAAATTTTTGCAGGCCCTTGTCCAGTTCAGGAAAACCTCAGCCACACCCTGGGATTATTCAGATTGTGTGGGTGAGCTCCAAGGTCAGGACCAGGCCCCCCACCCATCCCCTGCTGCCTCCGGCATCCACCACTCTCCTCTCACGCCCCTGCCCACTCAGGTCTCCTTGGGACACAGTTTGACTTGGCGAACAGACTGCCACTCCTGCTCCATCATTGTCTTTGCCAGAACAATAAACTTTTATTGAATATTATCTTTTACTTTATAGGATAATTTTTAATTGTCAAAATAAATGCACATTGTAATAAGTCAAACAGCACAGATGTGTAAGTAAAAAGTTAACAGTTTGGTGTTTGCTTTTTTTCTTTTCTCTACACCAGGGTTTCTCGGCCTCAGCACAACTGACATTTTGGGCTGATAATTACTTGTGGGATGGGGTGGGGGTGCCTGTGTTGTGTTCATTATATGTCTATGTCATTCAGTCATGACAACTAAAAATGTCTTCAGCCATTGCCACGTGTCCCCAGGGGGGACAAAATTGTCCCCAGTGGAGCATCACTGCCCTATGCTTATATGAACATATTCAAACAAATACACACACATAGGAAGTTTCTGAAAAATACTGTAAATATGAATGTGAAACATAAAAACATATAACTACTATACAAATATTATTAAATTACTTTTTAATTTGTACTACTATACAAATATTATTAAATTACTTTTTTCACTTAAAATATTTTGCAAACATCCCTCCAGATCAATATATAGAGATCTAACTTATATAATTGCTGTAAACATTGTCTTCTATGAATGTACTGTAATTTACCCGGCCATTCCCTCTTGATGAGTATGCAGATGGCTTCTAGTGTTTTGCCTCTCAAACAATGCTGCAGTGCACGTCTGTGTACATACAACCTTATATTCTAGAGTGTTTGCTTCTGAGGAATGGGGTCAAAAGGTCTGTGTGTGTTAAACATTTTAATACATTCTACCAGACTGCTTTCCCCCAAATTTGAAGCAATTCATGCCTCCACTGGTAGGACATGTGAGTGTCAGTCAGTCCCCCACCTCCAAGCCTGAGAGTTACAGGCCTTTTTTGAAGTGTGCTCGCTGGATGAATGAAAACTGAGATGCTGTGAGTGCTGTTGGTGTTTACATTTCCAGTTCCCTGACCTCTAAGGCAGCTGAGCATCTTTTCAGATGTTGACTGATCATCTGCATTTCCTCAGGGCTGTGAATTGCTGGACTCAACCACTCAGGCAAACTACTTAACCTCTTTTTGCCTTAGTTTCATTTTCTTTAAAATGGGCATAGCACCTACCTCTCCAGGCTGTGGTGGGGAGAGAGTTAACATTTGTAAAGTGCTCAGAACAGTGCTTAAGATGTTGTAAGTGCTCAGAAAAATGTCAGCTTAAAATTGTCTACTCAATATATTTGTAGTTGCTTCTGTTTACCTAAAGGAACTCTGGAAGGATGCATAGGATACTGATGCAAGTCATTACCTGTGTAGGCACACTGGGGATTGGTGGAGGGAACTAGGCCCATAAAGGCAGTGGTGGGAGTGAGACTTTTCACTGTGAACCTCTTACTTTACTTTGAATTTTTTGTTTTAACTATGTGAGTGTATCACCTACTGTTGGGGTTCAGGACTTACCACCCCACAGTATTACTGTAGGAAATCAGAATATGGCACCCCCAAATAATACTTTTTTTGGCATATTTTGAGCTGGTTATTCTGAGAAACTGCAGGCACAGGAGTAGCTCCCAACAGCTGTCCTTCTGTAAAAGAAATTTACAACTATAAGGGGAGTCTACATCAGTAAAAGTATCTGTATCTGCAAGAGGGCTCCTCCAGACAACTTTTATTACCTGAGAGATTTATCTGCATGACAAGATCATCTTTATTCACCATATACTTACTCCCTTCACCCTCTTATAACTTGTGTGACCACCATCCCACAAAAGCCCAAGCCCCTATTCCTTTCTGTAGCTCAGGATGCTATATAAACTTCAATCATCTGGTCCTTCTTAGAGTCGCATGTTCTGTGGGACTCCCCTGTGTATGCATGTAATTAAATATGGTTTTTCTTTATGTTAATCTATCTTATGTCAATTCTATTCCTAGCCCAGCCAAAGAACCTAGATGGGTAGAAGGAAGCCATTTCCCCCACCCCTATACTATTCAGAAATAAACATTTCTTGAAGTGGCTATTCATATTCTTACTTTTTTTTTTTTAGATAGTCTCATTCCATCACCCAGGCTGAAGTGCAGTGGTGTGATCATAGCTCAATGAAACCTTGAACTCCTAGGCTCAACTATTCTCCTGTCTCAGCCTCCTATGTAGCTGGGACTACAGGTGCACGCCACCACACCCAGCTAATCTTTTTATTTTTTGTAGAGATGGGGTCTTGCTCTGTTTTCCAGGCTGGTCTTGAACTCCTGGACTCAACAATCCTCCCACCTCAGCCTCCCAAAGTGGGATTATAGATATGAACTACCCCACCTGAACATATTCTTACTTTGAAGGTTGTTTATCTTATTGATTTGCCGGGACTCTGAACATTAGGGAGATTATATTGAGTCCTTTCCGTGGGCCAAGGCTTTTTCACTTTTCAAGAGTAAGTAAAACGTGGTTTCTGCCTTATATCTACTGCAAGAAAGAGAAAAGAATGAGGATTGTTCTTTGGGCAGAATCCACACAAGCTTGAAGTAATGGGGTCAAAAAAAAAAAAGACTTATTCTGCATTTCTATTGCCTGAGGAGCAGCTCTGAGCTGTGATTGGACCACAAAGCCCCAAGCATTCAAGAAGGCATGTGTTGAGCCAGTTTTTCGTTATAACTGGGCGAAGGAGACTGCTACAGCCTGGGACAGCCCAAACCCAGGGCCCCTTCTGGAGGCCTGAGGAAGATGAGACAAAGTGGCTGAGCCTCTGGTGGGCTGCTGGAACCTGGGACTTTTCCAGCCAAAAGCCAGGTCAGAACAAACCATCTTTATGCAGATGCCACAAACCCAAAATGGGTCACCTGGACAGCTGTCAGCATGGGGCCTGGCTGAAGCTTGGCTCAGAGGGGTCAGAGGAGGCTCCTTATTTAAAGCATTATTTTTAATTTTAGGAAACAATAGGAGTCTGGCGCAGTCCTCTCTCTGCATTGGGCACCTTCCTTCAGCCGTCAAGAACGCTGAGACAGGAGCCTGTCAGCAGTGCAGCGCCTCTTTCATCATTCACCTGTCTTCTCCTTCCATTTACTGCTAGACTTCCTGGAAGAGCTGCTCCCTCCCTGTCAATACCCCTTCAGTGACCACTTACAGGTGGTCTCACCCACCTGCCTTCTGGCCCCACTGTGCCCTGAAAATTCTATCACTTAGGTCACCCTTGGCTTCTTATTTGCCAAACCCCAGGCTCTGTTTACAACCTCATTCTCTTAGCCACCTTCCATCTTAACCACCTCCTCCTTACTGTTCTCAAAACTAAGCTTCCTTCCCCATGGCTTTTCAGCCTCTCTTGGTGGCTCTTCTTCCTCTGTCAGGAGTTGGTACCCAGCAGTCATTGTCCTGTCAGGCCCCATCAGAGCCCTGTGGTCACTCACAACCCACTCTCCCAGCTAAGCTGCCTACCCTCTTCTCCACCTCGTGGTTCTTAAGAGACTGAAAAGTCAATTTACCCAGAATTCACCCTCTGAGCTTCCTCTACCTCTTCCTCCCCCATCCATCTCTTCCCTGCTTACAAACCTTCAGTGACTCCTCCTGTTCCAGAGAATCAAAGCCAAATATCCTGGCAAGGCTAAATTCTGCCTCCTGCTGCCCTTGTCCTTGGCATTCCAACCATAACATATTCTTTGCCGTTTTTCCAAATGCTTTTTCTGTAGGAGATTTCAAGACCAGTCCTGACACCTGCCTCCTGGGACAGGGAGTTAATCATTCCTCATCTGTTTTCTCATAGCACTTTGCACAGATTTATGGAGTTGGGTTTGGATCCAGTGTCCCCTTTTTATTAGCTCTATGACCTTGGCCAGGTAGTTTAACCTCTCTGAACCTCTATAAAATGGTGACAGAAATGCCCACATCAGTCCAGAAATAACCCCATACATTTATGGTCAATTGATTTTCAACAAGGGTGCCAAGACATTTCAATAGGGGAATGAATAGTCTTTTCAACGAATGGTGTTGGGACCACTTCAAATCCACATGCAAAAGAATGTGGACCTTTCCACATCACATACAAAAGTTAATTCAAAAGCAATCAAAGACCTAAATTGAAGCTAAAAGAAAGCATAGCTATAAATCTTAGTGACTTTGGATTAGGCAATGGTTTCTTAAATATGACATCTAATGAACAAGCAACAAAAGAGAAAATAAATAAACTGGATTTCATCAAAACTAAAAGTTTTGTGCTTCAAAGGACAATATCAAAAATGTGAAAAGAACCCATAGAATAAGAGAAAATATCTGTAAATCATATATTTGATAAGGGTCTGGTATCCATGGTATATTTAATTAAAAAGACAAAACCTCTTACAACTCAATTTTAAAAACCCCAATTAAAAAGTGGGCAAAGAATTTGAATAGATGATTTTCCAAAGACATACAAATGGGCCATAAGCACATGGAAATATGGTCAATATCACTAGTTACCAGAGAAATGTAAATCAAAGCCACAAGGAGATACCATTTTATACTACTAGTATGACAAAAATAAAAATGACAGATAATAACAAATGTTAGCAAAGATGTGGAGAAATCAGACACTCACACACTACAGACAGAAATATAAAATTGTGTAGCTGCTTTGAAAAACAGTTTGGCAGTTCTCCAAAAAGTTCAACACAGCGTTACCATTGTCCCAGCAATTCCACTCTGAGGCATATCCCCAACAGAATTGAAAACGTGTGTTGGCAGAGAAACTTGTATGTAAGCATTTATAGCAGCCTTATTCATAACAGCCAAAAGGTAGAAACAACCAAATGTCCATCAATGGATGAATGGATAAACATAATGTGCTACATCCACGCAATGGAGTATTATGCAGTCATAAAAAGGAATGAAGTATTGATATTACCTGATATGTGCTACTTCTGATATATGCTACTATGTGTTCTGATATGGATGAGCCCTGAAAACATTATACTAAATAGAAGCTGGACACAGAATTATTCTATTTATATTAAATGTTCAGATTAGGCAAATTCATAGAGACAGAAAGTAGATTAGCGGTTCCCAGGGCCTGGGGGAAAGGGGGAATGGGGAGTGGCTGCTAATGGGTCCTGAGTTTCTCTTTTGAGAATGTTGCAAAATTAGATAGTGATAATGATTGCAAAACCTTGTGCATATACTAAAAACCACTGAATTGTATACTTTAAAAGGGTGAGTTTTATGGCATATGGATTATGTCTCAATTTTTAAAAATCAAGCATCAAGAAAGCAAGCAAGGCGCACCTCACAGGATTTTAGTGAGCAGCATGTGAAATGCTCTGGTGCTCATGGTGGGGGTCTGCATATCCACCTTTCTCTCCTACTAGAGTGTGGGCTCCTCAAGAGCTCCCCAGAACATATCCATCTCCTTATCCAAGTGCCTTGCACAGGGCCCAGCACAATATTCAATAAATCCTGACTGATGTGTGGAAGAGAATTCTGCTGGTTTTTGTAAGCCAGAAGAAGACATTATAGGTAAGCACACATGTATGGGTGTAGTAGATTCAAGAAATAAGTGAATGAGTCTGCAGGGATATTGTGACAATTCATCTGAACTGGACTCTTGTCTCAAACAACAGTCCAGATCAGAGTGAGCTGAAGATTCAGTACAGGAAGCTTCAAGAAGGTTCCTCTTCCACAATGACATAACAGAGCATGAGCTCAAATCATTTTCTACCTACATGGTTTAAGAAAAAAAAGGAAAAGTGACGTTAATGGAAGATAATGAAGATACGGGCCTTTTATTCATCCCTCATCCTGGAATCTCAGTTCTGTCCTTAGGGGAGGCATGTTACCCCCCAGAGGAATCCAGGGCCCATTGGTGGAGTCTTGAACAGTGTCAACTTCACTGGCTTTTGTCTGATATCATATATTCAAATCTATAAGAATAACTTCTCATTAGACCTCAGCCCCTGAATCCTCTGTGGGCTCTTAAAATTGGCACGGCTTCCAAACGAACTCACCTGGAGTCTACTGACCTTGTTAATGGCGTCTGTCCTCTGAGCTGGCACAGTGGAGTACCCCACCCATCTCTCCCTCGTGTCAGTCTCTTGGTTCTTCCTCAGCAATAATCCCGAGAGTGGCCCCTATTAAGGAAGGGCCTTGCTATCCACTCCCAAAAGCACTCTTAAACCACCTCCTTTGGGACTTCCTGTTTCCAACCGTCCTGTTTCTGTTTGGGCCCTGTTCCTTCAGTACTGAACAGAACTGGATTCTGCTCCTCTCTGTGAGGTCTTCCTCAGGCTGGCTGACACCTAGGAATCCTGCAATTCCCCATTGATAACTGACATCCCAGTCCTCAAGTACTCCATTTGCATTCATGCCCTCGCACATTATGTTCCCTTTTTCTTGGATGCTTTTCCTCCTTTTGGAGATAAATTGCAAATTCCAACTCAAATTTCAAGACTTTGGGCAAAATGTTACCGTGCCTGAGGTCACAGACTCCCCCAGGCAGAGCTGTCATCTCACTTCTGTGTGCCTCTGGAACACTCTGGGCACACCTCCATTATAAGGCTGGTTACATTGCAGGGGTATTATCTTTTTGCATATGTTTTGAGTCTAGGCAACATAGTAGGTGCTCAGCACTTGTTGAATGACTATAGAATGGATGAATGTATTACATAAGATAATTGTTTGTTTATCCATCTTTTGATATACTTGGTTATTCAAAACTTTGTTTATTTTGTTATATAACATCCTTGTATAAGATCATACATGAGAAATTACTTTTGAAATTGAAAATAAGGAAAAAAGGGTTATTTCCTTCTACCATGGAGACTCTATATTATAGAGAGAAGCATGGAGCCCTTCGTGTCTCTCCACTTTTTTTTTCTTACTTCCAAGAAGCTCAGAGCCAGATTTAATGTCCACTGGGAATAATAACATTAGCCTTTCTGAACAAAATTTGGCTCTTCCTCTTCTTTGTGGTTTTGATTTTCTATCTTTTCTCAGGCAGTGGAATATGGAGGAAAAGGTATAGGCTCTGGAGCCGGGAGCGGTGGCTCACACCTGAAATCCTAGCACTTTGGGAGGCCAAGGCGGGCGGATTACTCAAGGTCAGGAGTTCGAAACCAGCCTGAGCGAGACCCCATCTCTACCAAAAATAGAAAGAAATTAATTGACCAACTAAAAATATATATACAAAAAATTAGCCAGGCATGGTGGCGCATGCCTGTAGTCCCAGCTACTCGGGAGGCTGAGGCAGTAGGATCACTGATCCCAGGAGATTGAGGTTGCTGTGAGCCAGGCTGACGCCACGGCACTCACTCTAGCCTGGGCAACAAAGTGAGACTCTGTCTCAAAAAAAAAAAAAAAAAAAAAAAGGTATAGGCTCTGGAGAAACATGAGTTCTAATAGCTCTGAACCTTGTGGCTATGTAGTTTGGGCAATTTAACCTCTCTGAACCTCCAATTTCCCTTTTATAGGGTTATTGTAAGGATTAAGTTACAATGCACATAGTGTATATACACACACTAGAGGATCAATAAATGATAATTATATGAAGTGAAGGCTATAAATGAATAAAACAATTGGAAGTATCACTCTAGGCTGGCCTTTGGAAGAATAAGCAGCCAGTCATATGAGATGACTTGGGAAGGAGCAAGGCTAACTTGCCTAAAACCCATCTCCCCTGAGTCAGTCCCATTACTGGGATCACTATTCAAAGGACTCTTGAAAAGATACCTTTTTAACTGGGTTAAGAGATCAACCTACTAGGAGTGAGGAAACAGAGATCCTAACAGAAGGAAGAAGGAAGAGAAGGAGGAGGAGGAGGAGGAAGAGGAAGAGATAGGGTAGATTCTCAGCTGGGCATGGCCAGGCCCTGCAAGGGTCCTCTATACTGGGGTGGCTGAGCTGCCTGAAGCACCCCTATTTGCCAAAAATTTCCTTTTCTGCTCCTTCCAGAGTCCTCTGGGAGGAATGTAGAGAGCCTCAAGGATACAGAGCCTGAACACAGACGAAGAAGCTAGGGCAGTGGGTCCCTAAAGTGAGGGCAAAACGCTGGGAGATGTGAGGAAAGATTGGCCTGCAGCAACAAGAGCCCTGGGCTTGAATCCCAGCTCTCATAACCCGGTGTATGGCCCTGAGCCCAGCAGGTGGCCTCCAAGCCTCAGTTTCTTCATCTGAAAAATGAGACTAGTAATAGCTTCCTCCAGCCTGCTGTGAAGATCAAATGAGGTAATGTTTCTGGAAGCAATTTGTACACCAAAAGAGGGTTATTATTGTGTAGGTTATTATGCTCAATTTTGCCTGGAGCTGGCTCTGTCTCTTTATATTAAACTTTCAAATGGTGCTCATTAAAATGGACCTACCTATATATGTTTAAAACATTTTAAATGGCAGTAGTTCTCCAAAGACCAGGAAGGAGTTTGGAGGGGATCCTTTCAACCTCTTCAATATTCTTTTTGACAACTGGAAATTAGATGAATGAATGGGCCCAAACTCCTAGAGGAATTAATCAAAAAAAGTAAAGGTCAAGTACTAATTGTTGCTGGGAAGATGCTGCCAATACACCAGGGCAGCTGCCTTCCCACCCATCATACTGGCCCCCAAAGAAGGGGCTTGCTCAGAGGACCGACTTGGCCAGAGTCCCAGCTGCTCCCTGGCAAAGCTCAGCTCAGCTCTACTGCCCTCTTGCCTGGGGAACCACACAGGAGAATCATTAGTTATTCATGATGCCTAATTAAAAATCACTTCCCCACCCAGAAGTATAGGGCACGGGTTTGCATTGATTACAGGGCTGCTAGGGTAAGGCAAAACAATGTGTGAAAACGGTCCAGCTCAATGCCAGGCTCAGGGCCCGGGCTCAACCAGTACTTGTTGAGCATGAATCTGAGGGCTGAAATACCCTAAAGCGCACAGACAGACAGACAGACACACACACACACACACACACACACACAGATACACACCCAGGACAGATCTCTCTTCAGAACAAAACGTGGTGAATAATCATCGTGGATGGTGGTCGTGAGCATAGTACTCTCAACACACACGCCTGTTACCGTTTCATCTTTGTAAAGATCCGAATGGTCTGACCGTGGAGCGGCCGCAGTCTGTTCTGAGTTCAAATCTTGACGCCACCCCCTTCTGTCCGTGTACCCTTGACAAGTGGCCCTTTCCCTCTGTGCCTCAGCGTCCTCCTCATTAAAAAGTCCTCGTCCGCAGGTGAGGGTTTAGTGACTTAATACACAAAAAGGTCGGACAGGGCGCAGGCTCAGTAAACGCCAGCGATGGCCAGGAGCGGCCTGCGCGCGTGGAACGTGGCTCGGCGCTGCGGTGCGCAGGCGCCCCTCCCCCCGCCCCCAGCCCCGGCCTGGACGTCTGTTGGCCGCGCAGGTGCCACGTCGGCGGCTCAGGGAGGCCCGGCGGCTCTCCCCAGGCCTTCCGCTCCACGGCGGTGGGAGCCTGCTCCCGCTTCCTGTCCCAGCTAGCTGGCCTCCTCCTCCTCCGAGGCCTGCGCCCATGCTGCCGGCCGCCTCCCTGGCTCCTGACCTCCTGACCTTCTGACCCCTGCCACCTTCTGCCCTCCGTGTGGAAGGTACCAGATTTGGGCCTCGACCCGCAGCTCAGGTGGTAGGATCACCAGCTCCATTCCACAGGTGAGGAAACCGAGGCTGAGGACCTTGGAGGGACTGTGGGGGGCACACAGATAGTAAACGGCCCAAAGTGGACTCCTGTCTGTCCGAGCCCGGCCTCGCCAGCGCAGCTGCCAGGCTCCTCTTTCACCTTTCGTGGATCCTTGGCTGACCCTTGTGTTTGTGGTTCTCCCCAGCCAGGCACTATGTGGGCGCGGGGAAAGACGGGCCCTCCTCTCCAGCTACTAAGGCGTGGCTGGCTTTGCTGGGGTGGTACTTTCCTCAAACTAATTTGGGAACTGGTTTATATTTTGGTTGATTTGGAGTGTTTTGTTTTGTTTTGTTTTCAACGTTCCCCAGGGCACAAAGGGTAGCTTGTGTTTTTCTTTCCAGAAAGGCTTTCTGTTCTTAGTCCCTGCCCAGTTTGATGAATGTAGAGTTTATGATAGTGGAGACCGTTTTACTTTTCTTTGTGGATAAAATTCATCTTCTTTCATGTTTCAAATTGTGAGCTCAGGCCTTGCTGACTGGAGCCTGCTCTCGCTAGCATTCCTAGGCTATTAAATACTAGTTTAATGGACAGATATGAAACATGGTGTTAGGAGTAAGCCATCTCACAAAAACGAGACTGTTGTAATATTCTGAATTAATCTTGACTCTTCTGAAATCAAGACTCAAAGCATTTTTGAGTCCATAATTATCTGGCCTCCTAGCTACATTTTAAAACAAATTTTTTTTTTCTTGTAATCAGGAAAGTAAAAGAACAAAAAAGTAAAATGACGTATGTTGAAATCATGTGATGGAGATTAGGGGAGGATGGGGAGGGAGGCTGAATGCTAAAGGCTGTGGGCCTGGGTTTGCAGGATTTGGAGAGGCACTAACCCAGGCAGAGGGATGTGGTAGGCAGATGGAGCCACAGTCCTTGGGCTGGATTGTAGAGTGAGTCTGGCTAAGCTAAAGAACCAAGCTCCAAGACGGTTTCAGTCCTTAACCTGGAAAGAATATGAATGAAATGGAGGAGGAACAGGTCCTGGCTGAGTGGGCACTGGGGGCTCAGAAAGGAGAGGGGAAAAGAAGGAGTAAAATTTAGATGTTAAGTCTGTCTCCCATTGACTGTAAGGGGGCCTTGACATTGTCACTTTTGTCTCCTCCCATATTTCTTCCAGGACACCTAGTGTACAGCATTTGGAGCATGTCAGACTAACCCAAATGATCATTTTTCATTGATTCTAGGATGCATTTTTGTTCACATTTTTACAGCTCTGAAGTTGGGGTAAGTCCCACAACTGATAGTGTCTTTCTTTGTGTCATCATTCACTTGACAGCTTTTTGTCTGTCTTAGTGGCACAGAGAGTCACAGTGCCTTTAAGATCAGCAGCATCTCAGCTCTGATGAAGTAGGGCAGATGAAGTTACTGGACTTGGTCCAGTAACTGCAGGTTTCAGAATTGGAGACCTGATCTAATCATGAGTAAACAACACACAAACCCAAATTGATAGTGTTAGGTTCATCTGTGTGGATGTTCCCTGGTCCCCTGGTTCCCAGTGTCAAGAATGAGTACTGGTACTGAGTCAACCTGATGACAGTAATCACAAACACAGAACAACTTAATACAAACAATTTATCACATAATAGAAAGAATGAAAGTAAAGGAAGCTACACAAAAGGAAAATACATTCCAGAGAGAGTGGAGTGAGTCAGTCCCCACCAGTGGAGAAAGACACTAGAGGCTGAGCACATGCTGCCTTCTATAATAAGCCCACTAGTTTGTCCCGCCTTTCACTTGCAGGATTGGTTGCCATTTGGGTTGATTGACAGGTTGGTGTTATATAACAGATCACATGACAGGTTATATAATGGGGTAGGTTATATAAGGGTTTCCCTTCCTGCACATGGGTCTTTTCTAGAATTTTCCACAAGCTCACCCATGTTATGCTAATTAGATGGTAATGAGCTCTAAGTCAGTTAACAGTTACTAGGAACTTTTTCTACCATATATGTTCCCAGCAGGGAACAGCTCCTAGCCTCAATTTGGTTCCTAACTACAGTTTGTTTCCTACTCTCTGCCCCTTGCCACCTGTTTACCCTGCATCAGACCTAATAATAGAATCTACACAATATATGATCTCAACAGCATCAATCTCATATATTTACACACACACACACACACACTCACTCTAAAGAGAATTAATGATAAAGTAAGTATAGTAAAATGTTAACATTTGAGGAATTTGGATGAAGGACATATAGAAATTCTTCATATTACTTTTGCAAGTTTTAGTGAGTCTAAAATTACTTCAAAATAACAAAATAGAAAAAAATGGTTTTCACAATGAAAATTTCACAATAGAAAAAATGGTTTTCACTATGAAAATTATAAATGTGAGAATGGATACAATAAGTTACATGTATTTGGCAAAGATAGCTTGACAAATCTATATTATTTTTATGGTATGGTAACACCAAAACCTTGTGTATCCTGATAGATACCCAACAGAAACTAGTGCTTATGTTCTCCTAAAGACAGTGTAGGATTATTCATAGCAGATTTATTCATAATACCCTGAAACAAGAAACAACCCAAATGTCCAACAGGAGAATGGATAAGTTGTGGTATATTCATATGAGAAAATACCATATAGTAATGAAAATTATTGAACTACTGCTACATGCAACAACATGGATGAGTCTCACATGCATAATGTTGAGCAGAATATAATCAGACACAAAAAGAATATAAAATGCATGATTGTATGTGTATGAAGTTCAAGAACAGACAAAATAATTGATGGTAATGGGGCAGAGTAGTGTTCCCTTTGGGGGTTTTTGACTGGAAGAGATCTTTCTAGGGTATAAGAAATGTTCAATATCTTGATCTGGGTAATGGCTACTATAAGTATGTATGTATATGTGTGTGTGTGTATATATATATATACACACACACATTTTATACTAAATATACACATGTATGTAAAAATTCATCAAGCTGAACATTTAAGATTTGTGTAGCTTATTTAAGTTATATATCAATAAAAAATAAAGTAAAAATGTATGTTGGATGGATTATAGATCCAAATGTGACATACAAAATAATAAAATTCTCAAAGATGACATGAGAATATGTTTATGGTTTGGGAATAAGGGAAGACTTCTTACATAGGATACAGAAAGCTCTAACTGTAGGGGGGAAAAGTTGATAAATTGGATTACATTAAAGTTAAGAACTGTTTATCAAATCATACCATTAAGAGAGGGAAAGACAAGCCATTCAATGGGATACATTATTTGCAACACATACCTGACAGAGGGCTCATTTTGAGACTATGTAAAGAAAACCCACAGATCAAAATTTTAAAAAGGGCAACTCAATAGAATAATGGGTGCAATAGACCTGAACAGGCACTCTATAAAAGAAGGTATCTAGGTGGAGATACCATATGAAAAAGTGCTAAGCCTCATTATAATAGAATCTGGGAAATGCAAATTAAAAATCATAAGGAGAAACCACTACACACCTACTAGAATGGTAAACATTTAAGACTGACAAGCTCAAGTGTTGAAAAGGACAGAACAGCGAGAACTCTGGTATATGGCTGGTAGGAGGACAAATTCATTCTATCACTTTGCAACTGTTTGGCCTTATCTACCATAAATGAACATACCTAGTCCCTGTGGCCCTTCAGTTTGACACCTAGTTATATTCCCAACAGAAATGCATGTGATTGTGTGTATGTGTGTGTGTATGTAAAAGACAAGGAAAACAATGTTCATAGAAACATTATTCTTAGCAGTAAAAAACTAGAAATAGAGATATCCATCATTAGTAGAACAACTAAGTTGATATTTGTACAGTGGAATACTATACAGCAATGAAAACGAACACTCACAAAAGTAACACTGAACAAAAGAAACCAGACAAAAGAATCCTACTGCATGATTCCATTTACACAATATTTTAAAAACCGGCAAAATGAATCTATGGAGTTAAGGTCCTACCTTTGGGGCAGCAGGTGGGAGTACCAATTGGAAGGGAGCACACTGAGGACTGATCATGTGCTATTTTGGGCAATGGTTACCTAGGTGCATTGACGTTGTGAAAATTCATTGAGCTATATTCTTATCTGGTACACATTTGTGTACGTGTATTGTACTTTAATTTCAAGTTGATTAACTTGATTTGCACCTAGTGTAAATGTTTGGTATAGTGCATGTTAACTAATGAATGGTAGCACCAACTACCTGATTTTCTGAGAATCCATTCTGAGCCAGCCCCCAGGCTGGGCTCTGGGGCACAGAGACAAGACTTCTGTGCACTCTCGTGATACAAGAAGAGAACTCGCTTATCAGTGTGGTAAAGATTCATGGGAAGATGAAAAGGTGGGGGTGCTGAGAAATTACATCATTTTTTTCAGTCAGCAATGACACATTTTCTCCTATGGTGGACTTTAAAGTGCCCCCTCCCTCTGTGCTCCCCCTGGAGCATAAACTGCTGAACTTACAGAAAGCAGAACACACTAGGCTTCATGATCTTGAGCAGCAGCCAAAACTGGAACAGCAAAAACCGTCAACTCTGGAGCGGAACAAAGACTGGTATTATGTTTCCTAAACTTAGTTGGCTCTACGTTGTTAGGATGACACAGAAAGCACTTGTGCTCAGAAAAGAAACTGATCTAAAAAGGAGAAAATATCCTTTCCTCCCAGTCCCCCCACCCCCCATCCCCATTGCATGCCATTTTTGCTGCATGGCATTGGCCTCATGGGTGCATCAGCAGTTTCTGCTTCTTTTTATATTTTATCTTATCATCTCTATGGATTCTGAACACTAAAATGTTTGCTTGGTGTAGTTGGTAAAGTTTTTCTTATTTTTGGCAAATGTTCCAAATTCATTAAGATCCCCAAATAAAAATTTTTTAAAGAGCAGTTTTAATTCCCACCCTCACCATAAATTCTCAAAAAGCATAATTATTCATATCAAGTTTTTCTAGGTTTTGGCTTTACTTTTTATTCTTTGCTTTTCGTTTCCT